TTTTAATTTTTAAATGTTTTGGACAAATGTTTTTTTAGCAAAGTTGTACAAATACAACAATAAATCAATTAATAAAATGACAAAGTGAAGCACTATTTGTAAAAAGAAAACACTAGAAGCGCACCTACCGTCTGAGACATCATATATTATGCTATTTATGATTATAATTCATAGATACAGATCTAATAGTGTTAATTCATTATATAGCCAAAGTCGATTGGGCGTCTCAATCAATTATATTGGGGTTTTTAGAAGGACTATTTCTATCTGTTTTTCCGATATGAGGTTTTAATGATAAGTACTGCCCAACAATTACCTCCCGATTTCGTGCTTCAATCAGCCATTAGATCTCAGTGTTGGTAATAAATGCAAACAATATTGCACGTTTYCATCACGACATTAATGTCAGTACCGACACGGGTTAATTACCTCACGGGCACTTTTACTCCAGGGGATTTTCTCCTGGTCAGCTGTAGTGTACACTTGGGGCTAAAATGTTACGGAAAAAAAGATATCTATCTTACCTATAGGAGCCGGTTAAACATTGTTATGTYCAGGGCCGGGTTGTTCAAAGCCCGATTAGCGTTAATCCAGGGTTAACTGCATAGGTTTTCTAAGAGTTAACTGAGGATTAGCGTTAATCGGGCTTTTAACAACCCGGCCCTGCAGATGTATATATTTCTCCTATATATTTTTTGTTAATCAAACGATAATTGAAAATAGAATTAATTGGAACAAACCTAATCAATAATTCCAGAAACATAAATATCTATATCTAATATAATTAATAAATTATACAAGCTTATCATTCAACATACCACGCAAAAGACTACTTATGGTGGCACAAACGGATCGAGCTTATCTTTCACTGCCCCATCCTGGCGTGTGTTCTGTCGATTTGCTCTAAATATTTACGAACTACTTAGAAGATCTACGATGGTTTGCTGTCGAACGGAAATTAACTATATTATTCCTGCTTCCAAAGAAAATAACTGTTAACTCTTAGTGAAGGGCGTGGCAACATGTGCGCATCACCATAAGGAACCAATGTGGTCTGCAGTTTGTTAC